GGGTTTTTTTTTTTTTTTTTTTTTTTTTTTTTTTTTCAGTATAGAGTATCCAACTAGTATATTCTTTCTCGATGAATTTCAGTGTGGAGGATTCACATTACTTAGTTAAGGAGGTAGTTCGAATGAAGATTCTCATGTATGCTTCCACTTTGGTTTAACAGATCATAGGTCTTTCTCCATCTCTGTTATATTTATATATTCAAAAAGGCTTATTGGATTTAATGAATATTAACATTTTGAAAATTGAAATTTGTTCGTACTTTTAGCATTTCATTCTGTATCATTGTCTTTCATGTTGATGTATGATGTCCTTCAAGAGGTTTGATTTCCTATGAGTGAGTTATATCCATGGTTTTTCGGAAAAGTATCCTTGAAGTTATTATAATGGAAGGAAGGGTGTGATATCTCGTTAGAAATTACCATTGTTAATGTATTGGTAGTTTGAACTCATGACATATTTTTTTCTAGAAAATGAGCACTTCTTTCTTTCTTTCCTTGTTTGAGAACCTAAATTTATCTCCACATTCAAGAATATGATTGTCTTACGGATATCGCAGTAGCTTTCTAAAGTAGTTTAGTTGAGTGATTGCGGATCGCGTTAGTTTCAATAATTAGAAGTCCAATTCCATTATTAGTGAATTTGTTTTCAATTATATCAATCATAAAATTTGCAAATTTATTTCTATTGGTGGCTAATAGATAAGGGCACGATAATAATCAGAACTTTGTGATTATTCGAGCCATTTTTGTCCACTACTGATTTTTCTCATATTCCTTAGTTCTTGCGAACTATTTATGCTGCCATGGAATAGTTCAACTTATAACCTTGTTCATTCTAGAAACTAAATGCAAGAGAATCCATATTCTCTGGAAGTTAAGTCACAAACCCATTGAAATTGTATGGTTTATTTGCAAGTATTTTGCTTTCCAAATTGTTTTCCTGCAGATCACTCAATCTGTTGTCAACATTCCTCAAGTCCTCTGTGTAACGGTGCCATTGCGGAGACTTCAGATGGGAAAATTGTTTTGTTGCAAAGGAGTAGCAATGTTGATGAATTTCCAGGAGGCCATCTAGAGGTATGCCCTACGTAATTTCAGTGTTCCATTTTCATTTCTATTGTTTTAATGGATTATCTTTTGGTTTGTTTATAGTTCTGACGTATGAATATGCCCATTGTTTTCAAGAAAGCTTATCACTTTTTTGTTTACATTACTACACAAAATATCCAATTTGTCAAAGCAGTATACATCTATATTTTGTTGCCTCCCTTGAAAGTATTTGCTATGCCAGGGCATCCGTTTTCCAATAACGAAATCTCTAATATCTGCAGCCCCAATAGCTTGGAATAGCATACCATGATGATGTGAAAGGTTTTGCAGATTCCAATACCATTAACAGAAGGCTTTCGTGGAAGATGTTTGAAAGAATTACCCGAGAAGTTGTTGAACATATGAGTACAAACAGAATCCCTTGTATGTTAATCCCTCTGTCTCTCTGGTGGTGAATGGGGTGCTTGGTTGCTTTTATCAACTACGTTATCCATGTACAATTTTTTCGGTCTTATATTTTGAAAATTATCTATTTTTATAGGAAAAGCTGGTTATAGGCGATTTCATTAATTTAACTTTTGGGATGGTAATAGCATAGTTACAATCCCCGTCAATTTCTGTAGTTTTCATTATCATTGTTCCAAATTTCAGTCTCTTTCTCAACTCAGTTACTGGTTCAGTTTCAAGCTTAGATGATGTATTTTGTTTAGAAGGGTCCTAACTTTTTACAATTGTCTTTGTAGAACTCAAGTGGGAGCTATCTGTTGTGATTCCGCAATTCAATTAATTTGTTTCGCAAGTATATTTATTGTAATATGGTCTTATTATAACTTATGCAGAACAGCCAAGTCTCGAAGATAATTAAATGTCAGACCAGCTGTTTTCTTCTTCATAAAGAGTATTCTGGATTCTGTTAAATTCAGGAACTGTATACCAGTGCACAAGATGAGTCTGCTCAACTTTATACAGTTTCATTGGTTAGTATCAAACGTGTGTGTGCGTGTGTGTGTCAGTGTATCCATGTCCGAAACCAAAACGTCTGTGAATTATGATGATTGTGCTAGGGAAGTAAATTTAAGAAAAATATTGAATTCACAAGGAAAAACTACAAAACTACCTGGCATTTGAGAGGTCATGTGCTCTCCAAAATGAAGCTAGAGATCCTAATACCAATTACCATCCCCCTTTTCATGCCTACTATTTTCCTTTCATGTGTCCCAATCTCTTCATTTTATTACTCCCGTGCCCTTCTAAAGCTTCTATTCTTGCCCGTATGGATGACCCAATATGGCCACCCAGAGTTTCACATTGTTTTGAAGGTGGAAGTTTGGAAACAGCTTGGACTCCCAAGAAGTTTCTTCTCATTATATTTCTTCCAACTGAATAAAGACATCCAGTTCCCCTTTGGAATTTTTGTTGGACGAACATTCAACATTTTTTTTGGTTATTGTTGAATCCAAAATTTGAATCAAGCCGAAGGGAAATGGTGTTGGGTTCTAGTTGATGCCCTTCGTGAGATACACCTGTGAAACATGGAAAGCAGACTGGTTCCCTATTGTAGAGGGTAGGGCTATCTTTCCAACCGTTTCAATACTAGAAAAGGACCACACTATCTTTTGGTGCCTGCTTTGCCGATCACCTAGTTGATACGCTCTTTTGTCTGTATGGTTATAGTTTAAAGAAAGGCCAGGTTCCCTTGCTAAAAATACACTTCCCTTTGATGTTTGCCCAATCAAGTTTCATTAGTTGGTGAACTCAAGTTAATTGTACTCGAAAACACTTCAAATTAGCTTCATGGATGTTCTTTGGGACAATAAAAGGTTTAATACTTCCTTATGGGCAGTGGCCTCTAAAGCCTTTTGTACTTATCTTATTCTTTTGGAACGGAAACCTTTTATAAAGTTTGGGGCTCCTTTCTTCTGGATTGTTTTTTTTATGTGGCCTTGTATATCTTTTCATTTTTTTAAGAATAAAAGTTTGGTTTCTTTTAAAGGAAAAAGGCTTCACATTCGGGCAATAATTGATCAATAGACGGTATAAGTTGACTGACAAATGATAAATTACAGGTGAAGAGAGACGCGGTATGGAAGTTGAAACAGAGAAGCTTAAGTGGACATGAAAGGACGACTAGAGATTCAAACGTGAGTTCATCTCGTAGTTTCCTAGAACAAAAGTATGTATGATGTGCTGCAGGGTTTGATATTTCTAATAAACCTTTATTATCTCGTTTTTCGATGCTGACAGTAAAGCAACTAGGATTAATCCAAGCAGGAAGGTATGCCTTGTATCTCAATTATCTTTCATGGCATTAAACGTGCTAGATTATTTGTTTATGCCTTGATTTTTTATTAAAAAAATGGGTCGAATATCACTAAGAATCTTCCTTTTCTGTCATGTCATTTTTACTTTGACAAAAAAAGGTTCAGTAGGTCTATCTATTTATCAGCATCAACCAATAAAAACAGACCAAATATAAAAGGAAGAATTCCTACTTATTTATGGCAGTAACTATTTTGAGTCCATGATCTTTCTTTCTCATATTTTGTTGGCATAATTACATTTTCATGCGGTTGATGAGATTATTGAGAGTGAGCCCCACATTGGTTAATTTAGTTAATTTAGTGGAAGATCATCGATTTATAAGCGAGGAATACTATCTCCATATAAGGACTTTTGGAGAAGTCCAAAACAAAGCTACGAAAGCTTATAGTCAGAGTGGACAATATCATATGTGAAAAGTCGTGATTCCTAACAAGAACACACTTCTCTATAGGTTTAATACTGTGGACATGTCGGTCAATACACTAGGAGTTATAGCAATGGATTGTCAAAGCAGATGGATTAATTTTTTTTCTTCTTAAGAAAATGTAAGCATTTGACTATCCTCTAAGCCCATCATTTATCATCACCCATGTGAAGACTAGTTTCTATAGCTCAAGGACGACAATTTCATCCCTTCCCATGGTAAATAACCCATACAAATAAGTCATGCTGTAAATGTCAAAACTTGATCGATTAAAATTGGTAGGTGGTTGACTCTTGAAAGTGATAGATAAAAAAAAGGATGGCAGCAGTTGTTTACTTTTGTGCATTATTAAAGCAATCTACCACTGTGAAAATTGAACTGCCTCAAGTTTCGAAAGTGACCGTTTTGGTTTCTCACACAGAGGTTAAGACGATTGGATGAAAATAAAGCAACCTTTGTTGGCCAAGTCCACAGTCAACAACCCATTACTGGATTTTTAACATTTGTGGACTTTTCTTTCCCCCATCCTTTTATTTTATTTCTTAAATTAACATAATGTCTATTTGTTGATGAGCATGGAGGGCCCCACATGGGCAAGTCACTTCGTCTTCATGTGAAGTATATTGGCCCAAATTCGAAGAACAACCGAGCTCGCCACACGTGAGGTTAGTTGCCTTTAAAAGATTCCTTTTACATTACGCGTGTAACGCACCAATTGAGGATCCCATTTGTTTTCATTTTTATTCCTTTTTATAGAATACAACTTGTGTCTTAACTAATTAAAAAAAAAATTCAAACATACTTTTTAAAATCATCTAATTTCTATTAAATATATAATGTTTTACGACTTTAATAGTACTTGATAGGCTCACTCATTAATTTTGTCCCTAACATTTATATTTTGGTTTTGATAATATTTTTTCCTAAATATTTCAAAATACTTTTTGATTTTAGCATTGTTTAGGTGACACTTTATATATTTTTTGAATATGTGATATATATATTTTTTAAATGGGATAAAAAAAATACTTAGACCAACATAAAACAAGGTCGGATAAGAAAATGCCAATATTTAATGTATATTAAGGGAGGTTTGATTTTTAAAGAAAATTAACCCAACTATTACATTGTTAATGATGTGTTGTATAAATTTGTCGAATTGATTGGTTCGAAATGAGAAATTAATACAAATTAGAATTTTATTATTGTTAAAATGTGCATATTTTCTTTCTTTTTTTGCAATATTGGATTTATTCATTTTAGATCATCATCATTTTTGATTAACTATTATCTAATCTGCATACATACAAAGCAGCCCATGTGGCTTCTTTATCTCCTTTCCTATCATAATCGTAAGAAATATAAATATAGCGCAAAATTTAAATCCTTTGGCCATAGTGTTTTAATACCCAACATATCCATGCATAGCTCGGATAAATAAATAATAATTGGCATTAAATTTCAGTAGCCACGATTCTCCTTTTTGAAGCTTAGTTACGAAGTACTTGTTACTTTCGGTCCCATTTGCTGGCAACCCCCCAGTTTGCATAGTATTATTTGTTTACTTGTGAGTGGCTAACCACAAACATCCATGGTTTCCTCTCCTACTTTATGATAGTCAGTAGCCTATCACCTGGAATTACTAATGTCAATATTATTTAATTCATTAATTTATGATTTTCCCCCTTTATAGGGGAATTTCCTTTATATTCAACAATCTTATGTACGTAGGATTAAGAATGCTTAATTTTTCAATTAACGTGTCACCTTGATTTATATAACATGTATCAAATATAGCTCAAACTTGTTAAATGCGACAAAAATATGAGCTATATACCCATTAATATCATATGAAACACAGTGAAATTATAAATTGGGTAAGGTGTAGTCAACTGCAAAGGGAATAGGTAGAATTCGTCGGAAATTGGAACTGTTGTTTTATGTTTTTCTTTATGTAGGTTGGATAAACCATATGTGTTTGCTTCTACGTATGAAATAAATTACACTACAACTCAATTTGATTATATAAAATATCTACTTTTTTTTTATGATTAAAATAAGATGAAACCATACGCTATTCTAGATTAATATCAATTGAGTGACTGAACATTTGAAAATAATCTTTAACCCATATTTGACGTCATTCAAAAGTATAAATATTGAAAAAAACATTTTTCATAATTTAAAATATCTAAATTATTGCGCATTGAAAAAAAAAAGGTAAATATGAATAAATAGTAATATCGAATGAGAATTTTTTTTTGAAATAATTTGGAAGTATCTTTTTTAAAAAAGAAATTTCAAAGTTTGTGTATTTCAACTATTTTTTTTTATGGTTATATTATTGGATTATTATATTAAATTAGAGTGTGTGTTCACTTTCTATTAGCACAAAGATAATTTGTTTGTTAGTGAAACCCAATCAGGGTCAAACGCGTGGCCCCACATGCTGGACCCATCCATTCCTTCTGGTCTCCAATTAGCAGCGCGGGCCCCACCCTCAATTCCAGTTGATTTGCTCAAAAGTTAATGACCTATCTCGTTGACCTACGCGCCAGATTAACCTTCGCTCCTCTCACGCGCCAAGTTCTTTCCAACCAAAATGGCCTTCCACTTTCTTTTTTTTCAAAAAAAAAAAAAGTTGTTGTCTATTTTAATTTTTAATAAATATCGAAAATTTTATTTCTTTTAATTTTTTTTTACAAACATTTAAACCATCAAATAAATTTAATCGCTAAATATTTTAAAATTGTAAAATATCCCATATTTATTACGAGAAAATGTGATTATTAGATATTTTATTACATTAAAGAATTTTAATTTTTCATATACTCCGTGATTTGTTATTAGACTACTATTTTTGACTTCATTAAAATACAGGGAGAAACTATTTTTTTTTTCAATAGTCGAACACAATTAGAATGCGCGTTCATATAAAATTATCAATGATTGAGAGTCACTTTAAACAAAATAAAAATAAATAAATAAATAAATAAACAAATAAAATACCTTTGAAAAAGTTGTTACTTCAATTTCAATTAAGATATCATTTATAAAATAAAATATTTAGAATTTCAAATCTTTACTATTTTATTTTTTTATTAAACTAAAAAAATCGTATTGGTTATGAAGAAGGATAAAATTCAATTCAATTATTAAATTGGATGGTATTTAAAAAAAACATTTATTCATGAAGAATCAAATAAATGAATTGACTAATAGAGTTGTTGATAACCTTGTTTGTCAACAAGCTGACGTGTAAATTTAATCATTATCCTCGGTTTACTTCTTTTTTTTCTTTTTAAGATTTAGATTAACGGATATAATGTAAAACGTATTAGTAAATATTTAAATTTTTATTAATTAAATACGAAATTAACGCGGAGTAAAATGATAACTTAATTAATTTTTACTTTTATAAAATTTACAAATATTTTTTAGTATATTTTAAATAACTTTTGAGAATAATCTAATAAAATATATATTTTTGTTGTTACTGCTAACTTTTTGTATTAATTAAGCAGAATTTGTGCAATTATATATTTAAATTTGTGTTGCCATAAGTCAAAATTAGTATTAAAATAAATATAAAAAAAACACTTTGGTTGCATTTATCATTATTATTATTATAATATATTTATGAAATTAGGTTAAAGGTCGAATTAATTTTTTTCTACCTACCAATAAATAAATAAATCAATCAAAATTTAAAGTAGAATCGATACTTAATGATAATACTTTGACTTATAAGATAACGTTAAAATGATCCTATTTTAATAGAGTACAACCCTTTCTACGAGAGCATGACTTAATTATAATTAAAAGGATACCGAGTATAAAATTTTTAAGTAAAGACAAGCATGACGGGATATTATATATCCTCCGTTCTAACTGCAGTTCGAATTCATAAACGTGTTCATACAAACGCACTTATTAACATAAGTCTTCTTATTTCATTTTCTTCGAACGTATTAAGTCATATATATATATATATATATATATATATATATATATATATATATATATATATAAACAATACAGGTTCCTATCAAATAATATTTACGAATAATTTTTATTGTTTAATATAATTTCTATTAAAAAAAATATAAGAATCATGAAAAAAAAGAAATTTCTTTTTTTTCATAATCCTTACTTTTTTTAATAGAAATTATATTAAACAATAAAAATTATTCGTAAATATTATTTGATAGGAACCTGTATTGTTTATATATATATATATAAACAATACAGGTTCCTATCAAATAATATTTACGAATAATTTTTATTGTTTAATATAATTTCTATTAAAAAAAATATAAGAATCATGAAAAAAAAGAAATTTCTTTTTTTTCATAATCCTTACTTTTTTTAATAGAAATTATATTAAACAATAAAAATTATTCGTAAATATTATTTGATAGGAACCTGTATTGTTTATATATATATATATAAACAATACAGGTTCCTATCAAATAATATTTACGAATAATTTTTATTGTTTAATATAATTTCTATTAAAAAAAATATAAGAATCATGAAAAAAAAGAAATTTCTTTTTTTTCATAATCCTTACTTTTTTTAATAGAAATTATATTAAACAATAAAAATTATTCGTAAATATTATTTGATAGGAACCTGTATTGTTTATATATATATATATAAACAATACAGGTTCCTATCAAATAATATTTACGAATAATTTTTATTGTTTAATATAATTTCTATTAAAAAAAATATAAGAATCATGAAAAAAAAGAAATTTCTTTTTTTTCATAATCCTTACTTTTTTTAATAGAAATTATATTAAACAATAAAAATTATTCGTAAATATTATTTGATAGGAACCTGTATTGTTTATATATATATATATAAACAATACAGGTTCCTATCAAATAATATTTACGAATAATTTTTATTGTTTAATATAATTTCTATTAAAAAAAATATAAGAATCATGAAAAAAAAGAAATTTCTTTTTTTTCATAATCCTTACTTTTTTTAATAGAAATTATATTAAACAATAAAAATTATTCGTAAATATTATTTGATAGGAACCTGTATTGTTTATATATATATATATAAACAATACAGGTTCCTATCAAATAATATTTACGAATAATTTTTATTGTTTAATATAATTTCTATTAAAAAAAATATAAGAATCATGAAAAAAAAGAAATTTCTTTTTTTTCATAATCCTTACTTTTTTTAATAGAAATTATATTAAACAATAAAAATTATTCGTAAATATTATTTGATAGGAACCTGTATTGTTTATATATATATATATAAACAATACAGGTTCCTATCAAATAATATTTACGAATAATTTTTATTGTTTAATATAATTTCTATTAAAAAAAATATAAGAATCATGAAAAAAAAGAAATTTCTTTTTTTTCATAATCCTTACTTTTTTTAATAGAAATTATATTAAACAATAAAAATTATTCGTAAATATTATTTGATAGGAACCTGTATTGTTTATATATATATATATAAACAATACAGGTTCCTATCAAATAATATTTACGAATAATTTTTATTGTTTAATATAATTTCTATTAAAAAAAATATAAGAATCATGAAAAAAAAGAAATTTCTTTTTTTTCATAATCCTTACTTTTTTTAATAGAAATTATATTAAACAATAAAAATTATTCGTAAATATTATTTGATAGGAACCTGTATTGTTTATATATATATATATAAACAATACAGGTTCCTATCAAATAATATTTACGAATAATTTTTATTGTTTAATATAATTTCTATTAAAAAAAATATAAGAATCATGAAAAAAAAGAAATTTCTTTTTTTTCATAATCCTTACTTTTTTTAATAGAAATTATATTAAACAATAAAAATTATTCGTAAA